AAGCTGCTGATTGTTTAATTGGTTAAAAATGTGTTTCCACCTCCTGGAGTGCAGCGAGGCGAGCAGGCGGTTGCAGAGCACTGCCAAGTGCCTTCACCTCTGCACTGAGAGCAGGGCCAGGAAGCTGTCAGCCCCAGGAGGTGGCTGTAAAGTGTGTCAGGCAGCAGGGCAGGACAGCCGAGCTGGGTGGAGGAGCTGCATGGGACATCGACAGAGTGGGGATGTGGGACAGTGGGGTACAGGAGGCTGGAGCTGAGGCACAGCATGGATGGAAGAGGCTCATCCATGAGTCCCCATCTCCCTCCACTGAGCTACTCCAAACACCCCCTCATCCCTGCCATGAGGGGAGCATCTCCGAAAGATTGAGGCTGCTCTGGCCAAGAGTTCACAGGCCGCTGCATGAGCACCACAGGGGAATGGGCATGCACAGTGACCTGTGCATTATGGGCTTCGTGTGCTGCAGTTGTCAGGGTAACCTGAAGGACTCCTTGTTTGTGTTTGGGTTCTGCATGCCAACAATGGGAGGGAAAAAATGAGCAGAAGAGAAGATTGTGAAGAGAAAAGCATGGGTAATGTGGCAGCTGTGCTGTTCCTCAGGTTCAGATCAGGCAGAGGTCTCAGTGTGCTGGAATTTGATGTCACCATGGGAAGAGCCACCAGCATCTTTCCATGCCCCAGAGTGAAGGAGGGTCCCCACCTCTGTCTATAGGGTCCTGTCCAGGTCTCTACTGTGGCTCTTTCTGAGGGGTGTGCCCAAGTGCCCAACACTCTTTCTTGGGGTGCTGCCATGAGTCCCGGCTATCAGTCGTGATGTGCTGGGGCACTGTGGGTCTGCAGAGGGCTGATAATGCTGGAGCTGGGCTGCATGGAGCAGGGAGCTCTGATCCTGATACTGGAGAAAAATCAGCAAAGATCAGCAAGAGCCATTGAGATTGTAAACCCCCAGTGTCCACTGCAGGTGTTGCTGGCCCTGCGGCACATAGAAGTATTGATGTCACCAGACCAAGTGGTTCTAATGGCCCCAGTGGTGTCACCAGCCTCACTGATGCCACCAACACCAGTGGTGCCACAAACCCCAGGGTTTCACCAACCTCATAGATGCCGTCAGTCTAAGGTGCCACCTGCTTTACTGGTGCCATCAGTCTCATTGCTGTTACCAGTCATGATGGTGCCACCAGCCTCTGGTGATGCTACCAGCCTTACTGGGGCCACCAGCCCCATTGGTGCCACCAACGGTTTTGGGGCCACCAGCCTCATTGATGCCACCTGTTGTGGTACCACCAGCAGCGGTGATGCTACTAGCCATACTGATGCCACCATCTCTGTTGTTGCCACCAGTTAAAATGGTGCCACCAGCCTCATTGGTGCCAACCAGCCTTGGTGGTGCCATTAGCCTTTGGGGTTCCACCAGTCATATTAGTGCCATCAGCCTCTTTGAAGACACTGGCCCCACTCCTGCCGCAGTTCCAGTGGTGTCACTGTAGTGCACGCATCCCTGCATCACTTTCTCTGCCACAGGCACCCATCACTCACTTGGTCCTGGGCCTGGCAGGCTCATGGTACTTTCTTGGATAGTGCAGTTCCTGCACAGCCCAGCACTGATCTCCCAGGGTTATTTCTGAATCACAGGACAGGAAGCATTTAGAGGTTTAAGCCGAGATGAATAATGTGCTCATTTCCTTGTGCCGACTACAAAGCACCTGCTCCAGGGGATTTATGGAGTGCCACTCTCTCGCACTCGCGGCACTGCTGCCCACCCGGATGTTATTATTTTCTTGGGATGGCTGGTGGGTGCCAAGGCCTGTTTTCCCAAACACTGTGCACCTTCCCATCATTTTTCTTAGGAAAAGTGGCTGAAGGCAGCAGTGGGGCACATCAGGGTAGCCCCTGGTGCCAGAATGTGGCCCCAGGCAGGGTAAGGTGCACAGTGCCTCTGGGTGTCAGCAGGTGTGAGGTGGGAGCATTGCAGGAACAGGTGTCTCCAGGGCATGATGCTAGATGGGGTGACACAGGTACAGTAGGGCTGCAGAGGGACAAGCAGCTCCTCTCTGCGGGCAACTGTGGCAAAGGAGAATAAGGGGTGCTTGCAGCCACTGGGATAAAAAGGCTGGAGAGGGCATGGGAGAAAAGGACGGAGCGCGCTGGAGAGGGATGGACCACAATGGGGGGGAATGGAGCATTTGAAGAGGGGTGAAGCATGAGGACAAAGAGTGGAGTATGATGGAGAAAATGGACCATGTGGAAGAGGAATGGAGCATGTGGAAGAGAGATAGAGCATACTGAAGAGGAACAGGCTGTGAGAGTGAGCAGCTAAGCACGATGGAGAAGAGTGGACCACAGTGTTGAAAAAGGATGGACCATGATGGAGAAGAATGGAGAATGATAGCAGGGGTGGTGGAGCACTGGGAGCACCAGGGAGCATCAGAGAGCTGGGGGGGCTCAGCATGCAGTCCGAGTTGTACCGGAGAACAGAGCCCAGCCTGAACGCCAGCCCAGCCCCTGTGAATAATGCAACATCGAGGTATTGATTATGCCCCCTCCACTTTGTCCTCTTTCTGGAGCAGCAGCCGCACAAATCAGGCTGACACTGACCCAGCTCGGCCCAGCGATAAGTTGGGTCAGGCTTTTTTTTTGCTGCTTAGAGAGAAAATAAAGTGCTTGTGGGGAGCAGGAGCCAAGCTCCCCAGTGCCTAAAACAGCAATCGTAGCACTTCCTTGGATTTATGGTGTTTGCTTTCACAATGCCAGCCGGGATCCTGTTTGCTTCCTGCTCTGCAGCTGCAGCCTAAGCTGAAGGCTCAGGAGATTCAGGTTTTATAACACTCCTGGATCCTGCCGATGGCAACTTGTCCATCATCTTTTATGACCCGCACACCTCCTGTGAGGCTGGGCTGGGCCACTGCCACCCCGTCCCATTGCCCACCTCCGGCTGCCCCTGGCAATGGGGTACCCTTCCCAGCGCCAGGCACTGTGTGCAGGGGCTGAGCTGCACCGGCATGGGCAGGTTGCTGAGACAAAGATGTCACCTTCTGCAATGTCCTGGGATGCTCGGGGCTGATGGCAAACACCAGAACTGGGCACCCAGTGTCACCTCAGGGACAGAGCAGGGTTGCACCACACCACAGCATCCCGCAGCCCAGCTCTGTGTGCTCTGTCCATCCCCATCCCCTGTCTTCAGAGCCGGGATCCCCAGCTGTGAGAGCTTGGCCACCCCACAACTACCCCTCCTCCAGATATTTGGTGTCCCTCTGGGAGCCAACCATCGGGGCCTCCAAATGAAAAGCACAACTTTTGTTTCATGTTTTCTCTGCTCAGTGGTGAAACGAAGATGGATTAGTTCACTGTGGTTGCTAGCGTGCTAGACTCCTTTTCCCAAACACACAATAGAAATATTCATTTACCGCTCTGACGACGGAGACTTTTATCCTCCTTATATAGTAACAACTCTGCTCCAGAGGGCGATTTTCATTTGTTACTGATACACTCCTCCATCCCTGCCCACAGACTGTGGGCTGTAGTTTATCCATGGATACCCCAAGCTCCTCTGATTTATTACAACCTCTTCCAGCCGATAGCACATGCAGCCCTCTGCCTCTCCATTTCTTCCCTTGATTTGAGATTTCTCCCTTTCCCCCACCCATTTGGCCAACACAGTGGTTTAATGGAGGGCTGTGGGGCGGTGGCAGGGGCCAGGGGACGCCAGGCAGTGTGGGGACCTGTGTCCATAGAGGGATGTGCCTCGAAACCCAAAGGTGGTGAATCTAAAGCGGATAGAAGGAAGTGGGTTTTTTTTTTTCACTCCCTGCTTAATTAGGCTGCCACAGGAAAGTGCTCAGGCCAAAATTTAGTGGGATTCAAGGAAGGATTGGACATCTATGCGGATAACAGAAATATCCAGCTATAACAGTGGATGCCAACACAAATTCTGGAAGGGATATTAAGCCTCACGCGTCAGGGTGTAAACCTATCCCAAACAAGGCAGCTTAACATTGGGCAGATGACCCACATACGCTGCTGCTGCTACAGCTGCCAGCAGGCAGGACGGTGGCCTTGCTCCCTGCTGTGGCAGCACCTTCTGCAGAGGGCAACGAACCCCTCTGGGCAGTCACCATTCACAGTGCCCCACACCTATTGCCCACACCTTCCATCCTCTCTCCTTGGCTGCAGGTAACAGCCTGATCCTGCAACCTGCAGACAGACAGTGCAGGCAAGGGACTGTGGTAGCCTTCAGGTACATACAGCCAAGCCCTTTGTTCCCCTCTCAGGTCACCTGCTGGCCAAATACACCCAATTTCATCCCTCTTGTCACATCCCACAAATTTTGCAGTTGCCTAGCTTCTGGAAGGAACTGCTCACCTCTGGCATCTGCAGGTGCTGCAGATGGATGGCATGGCCCCATGCTCACACTGGCACCACCAAGCTGAGCCTTAGGGACATTGTGGAGATGCAGGGCACTGTGCCACTGGGAACCACTGCACTGCCTGTCCTTGGCCAAGGAGACCAGCCCTCACCCACAGCCTTCGCTAGAGGCTTGGAGAAGGGGGAATTCACTCCATGAGCTGAGCGTGAGCAGCTCCGCACCCACCGGGGAAGCACTGGTTGTCAATCTGGTGCCCATCCCCCTCCACACAATGGGATGCTTGGACACCTTGCTGCGATGCAGCATGACAGAGGGGTGTCTGGAGCTCTCCCACTGGTTGGGAGCCAGGGCTGCCCAGCACCATGCCAAGGGCAACCTCACCAGGGTGCCTTGGATCTTCCCTTGCCACCAAGCCCTGCACCCACAGGGGTTCCAACTGGAGACATTTCTGGAGGGCATGAATCAGCTTTTCACAGCTTGTTAAAAATCTTGATCCTACCTCTTGTTTTCATGCCTTTCAAATCAGGAAATGAGTTTTACAACTTTTCCAGTGGGGCACAGCTGGTGGCCAGGGTCGTAAAGCTGAACTTTATAAATATCTCTTGTTGGGATCAGGGGAAGAGCATTAAAAAGGCAGAGAGAAAGAGAGAGAAAGAGAGACAGAAGGGAAAGAAGCTAAGGAAAGAGAAGAAAAGCAACTCAGCAGGACTGCTAAGAGCCCAGCTCAACGATGGCCATGGCCCTGAGAGCGCTGAAGACGGCATGCACCTGGGGCAGGCTCTGCCTCCTTCTCTCCCTCTTCCTTCAGCTGCCAGGCTCCCAGGCCAAATGCTACTTCCAGGCTAAAGGTAAGCAGGGAGGTGAGTTGGGAGGATGTGGATGCTGGGAGAATGCCTTGGCTTTCCCCAGGGCAGCTGGGCTCAGCCCTGCAAAGAGCTACACAGGCTGTGCTGAGCCTAGGAGCACAGTCGTGGGCCAGTGATGACTGGAAGGAGCAGTCTATAAACCACAGAACAGCTCCCCAGGGTTCTGGCTGAGAAACAGCTTGCTGGGCCATGAAGAGCTCCTGGCAGGAGGTGGTTGTGGCCAAGATGTGGCCCGGCTGTGGCAGGACCAGTAGCACAGGGAGGAGGGCTGCCCTCCTGTCCTTTCAGGGGTGAAGAGATGCTGAAATTCAAAGCGACACTGAATATGATTTCTCTGAGAGCCAAGAGTCACCTGATTCTGCCCCAAGTCAGCAGGATGGATAAGAGCATCTCCATTGGTGTTTACTTGAACTTCCCAAACCTGCACAGATGGCAGGAGCGGCCACCAACTGTCTCCCGTGTCACAGGGAAGAGGGGAAGCAGTGATATACCTGTTTCCTTTCAGGGCAGAGGGATGCCGGTGGGGCTCCCACACACCCTCATGCTTATTGCCACTATTTTCTTTGCAGCTCCCTGCGAGTACGAGGGGAAGCAGTTCTCCCTTGGGGAGTCGTGGCTGAGCACCAACTGCCTGCTGTGCACCTGCCTGCACCCCATTGGCGTCGGATGCTGTGAGACGTGAGTGAGGGATGCTGGGGATGGGCAGCAGTAGGGCTGGCGGTGGCACTTGTGACAGACCAACCAGTTGAGTCCTGGGGATTGTAGAATCATAGAAGGGCTTGGGTGCTTGGGTTGGAAGGGACCATAAATATCCTTGTGTTCCAGCCATAGTTGCCAACCAGAAAATCAGGCACTAGATCAGGGTATGCAGGAAGTAAGGGATGGCAGTGGAGTACGAGGCGCTACAGAGGGTTCTGTGGACAACAGACAGGCAGGAACTGGCCTGGGAAATATGTGGGCTGCTCCCTGGCACCTGCCAGAGGAGCTGACAGCACTCTGTCCTCTTTTTCAGCACCCAGCACCCCATTGACTTCCCCGATTGGTGCGAGGCCCACTATGACACGCAGACCTGCCAGATCTCGGTGGTACAGAAAGCCAACCCCAGCCTGCCATGTGTGAAGAGCGTGGAGCACGAGTGGGGCTCAGCTGGCACCCCTGAGCCACTGAACAAGGTGCTGGATGCGGGGCTTAGCAGATAGAGTGCACGGCCTTGCAGTCAGCCCCACTCCCCCAGAGCACACCTCCTGCATGCTCCACACCTGCCCCAGCCTGTAGACATCACTGCAGCCACCTTCCAGGGAAACCACTATCCATGTACTGAGCTAACATTTACACCCTAGCGCTGCCACAGTACAGCTCTGCTTCTGCCTTCAGCTTCCTGAACTCAGCTGGGGCCCCTTCCCCAGCAAGGCACTGCTCTCAAGATGAGTGGTGAGGTGGGCCAGGCACACAAGCCCCCAGCAGGACCAGCAGACCCCGAGCTGTGATTTTTGGGGGGAATGCAGATCCCCAGGGATGTCCACCGAGCTGCACAGGGAATTTTCAGCTCCAGAAGGACCACAGGACCAAATTACACTACATCCAGCTGCAAGTTAAACAGCTCCCACCAAAACCCCAGTTCCCTTGCCTGCAGCCTCTGGCATCTCAGTGGGAAGCATAGCAGTCCTGAAGCATGACATACTTTGGCCAGTTCCTTCTCTGCCCGAGTGCAAGAAGCGTAACCTGCTTCTTGAACCACTAATGTCCATGCTCCCACAGCTCCTGTGACCAGAACTCTGTGTGCTAGCCCTGGGTAGGCAGAACACTGGGCATATGAGGAAAACAGCTGTCCCCATGAGGAGCCTGGCCCCCTGTGCAGGCTGCCCCACTCCAGCTGCAGGAAGCTGGGTGCCCCACTGGTGTTCAGAGAGCTGAAGCAACCTGTCTGTGCGAGCGTGGAGCTGGCTGCCCTGACAGCCTGCCCTAGCTGGTGCCATGCCTGTGCTGTACAGAGCCTTGTGTAGATGTTTCTGTTCTTGCAATAAAGGTATTAAACAAAGTGGTCTCCACTCAGTGACTATTGAATGCTTATGCTGCCTGTACCCCAGAAAGGGTGCAGGAATAACGGTCTTTTTAAGGCTGAATCGTGCATCTTCTGGTATTTATTAGATTACTACGCAAAGAGGAAAACTCTCTGAAAGGTCTGGTAGAAATGCAGAGCTGGCTATTGAGCAGAGAGACCTTTGTCCCAGTTCCCGAAAGCCCACTGTGCATTTACTTCAGCTCCTCAAGGATCCCAAGACCAGCAGGATACCTCTGAACACAAGAGCAGAAGGAAAGAACAGCCCAGGTGCTCAGCTTTGGATCATCACTATGCTGCTGCCATCCTGCTCCATCTGGAGCTGCCATAGCATTTGGCCACGTCCAGCCCAGCATAAACTGGCAGCACAAGACTGGCCTGCCAGGACCTTCATGCAAAGCCAGCATTGGGCTTCTCTAAAAAGCTCCAGAATCCCTCAGCTATGCTCTTGTCTCTTGACGGCTTTGTCATGGGGCACATGGCCCTCCCCTGGTAAGCAGATCTTGTTGCAGCAAGGGTTGTGACTCAGGTTCCAACAGAAACGAAGTGTCAGGCCCCCAGCTGAAGGCCGTGGCACAGAGCATGGCATCAAGCACAATGCTCCTCTGCCCACAGGCAGGACAGACCTGCTCAGTGCCCACCCATACGTTACAAACGAACCTGAGGAACCAATGTCCTGCTGCACGTTGATTGTGGTCCTGCCAGCCAATCCCTCCAGTACTTTTACTCGCTCTTTCCACTTCAGATGGTGATAGAGTTGGCACTAGAGAACTGAGATACATAGGAGGCCAGGATGGGGTTCGTGGGAAGGACTTTGATGGGTAAATCCCAGCTGAAAGTGTCCACTTCAATCTGCTCCACCCCAGTCCAGGTGATGGCTTCTGACTGGCTCCCACGAACCATGCAGGTCCTTGCCGTCTCCCCAGAAGTCACGAACTCGAAGTGCAGCCTCCACTTCAGGGACACTGTGGGCAAGAGGCAGGTCAGCAGCCAACACAACAAGGGACAACAACTGTATCAGTGTTGGCTGTCCTGGCAAGGGGACAAGCAAACACGCCCACTCACACACGGCCAGCTCCCTCCCTCATACATGATACAGCCCTGCAGAGAGTTTGCCAGTAGGCACAGGGCAGCAAAGGCAGGCCTGGGGACACTGTGGTCCTCCCACAGGGACAATCAGGGCCGCTAACCGATGTTGGTGGTGAATCCTGGAGTTGAGCTCAGTGGGATTGGCAGGTTGAAACTGCTCTGGGCTGTGTGCAGGCAGGCCTCCTGATGGCGGGCATGTGTGCTGAAAGAGACAGGCTGTCCCCGTCGCCTCTGGAACTCCTCCTGGATGCTCTCTTCTGTCTGCAGGCTCACTGAAAACTGGACAGTAATCAGCAGAAAGCTCATGCTCATATGGTCCTGGGGCCTGTTTCCCAGCAGCACTCAGAACGAAAAGCTCTTCCCACCTGGAACCCCAAAGGAACCTCAGCTGTGTCTTACTGAGGTCTCACCAGAAGTCCCACAGCAGCTCAGTGCCACTCCAGTCCTTTCTCCCACTCTCCCACCCAAAACACCTGGCTTTCCACGCAGTGTAATGAAGTCAGCACTGACCTGTAGGCATGGGATGTCTCCTTCTGAGAAGTTAAAGGTCCCAATGACATCTTCTCCAATCTTATACACAGTCTTGAAGATACAGAATGTCCCCACCTTCCCACGTGTGTTGCTGATATTGTACAAGTCTAAGCAGAAAGCAGAGAGACGAACAGAGCTGGGGCATAACGAGGCTCTGCTTAGTGCAGATTCAAAAAGCCTAACAAACACAGCTCGTCTGCCGGGGAATCACAGACTCGGAGTATGGCTTGAGTTGGAAAGGACTGTAAAGATCATACAGTTTCACACCTGCTGCCCTGGGCAGGATTGCCATCCACTAGATCACACTTACCTGGGCCTCATCCAACCTGGCCTTTAGCACCTCCTGGATGAAGGATAGGCATTCCCTCTAGGAAAGGTATGCAGCAAGCAACAGAAAACCACATGCTGGCTGCAATACGCTGGGGAGAAGGTCTTTACTGAGATTGGCAGGGAAGAATTTGAGAAATTTGATCTAAAGCAGGCCCTGATGGAGCTGCACTATAGCCCCAGACTGTTCCAGCAAGAGATTTTCACAGCAAGCAGTGAGCTGGGAAGAGGGCAAGCCTGCAGGCATTTCTGCTTCACATGTAGGTCAGGACAGCATGTTTGAACAGAAGTGACCTACGCAGGCTACGTCGGGAGGTGGCTGCCATGAGCAGCTCTGTTGCCAGGTCTGCCAGGCGAGAGTCTTTCTTCAAGCCCTCCTCCTCTTCCAGGAAGGGGTTTGAGGGCGCAACGGCTTCATCCTGTGGGCACTGGTAATCTTTGAGGCCTGTGAAGAAGGCAAGGGTCAGTGCGGCAGGCTGCAGACCAGCCTGCACCTAGGAGAGGGCAGAGCGTGGCCTTACCATGCAATACGAGGACACGGAAGGGCACACGCAGGAGTTTGATAGGGGAGTTGACCCGCTGGCAGCCGATGGTCAGCTTGTATACATACTTCACTGACTGTCCCCGGAAAGAGGGAGGGCCGTCTATGGGCAGCGTCTCGCAGTACGAATCTGCAATGGAAAGCATTGCTTTGCAAGAAATTTACTGAAGCTGCTGCATGCTGATTCCCTGCACGGAGTGCGCAAGAGCGGCAGGGGTAGGGGCAGAGCATGGTGTTTCCTGCTATCTCCTCTCCCCAGGCTCAAGCACATCCTTGGCTTCCTGCTTCTCTGCTTCTCACATCACGCGCTGTCATCCAGACATTCTTCCAGCATATACAGCCACACACACAAGTTCTGCCTCAAAAGAATGTGAAAGATGTAGAACCCAGGAATACACACATATGAGAGCTGAACTTACTCATCACGAGTTCAACCTGAATTTGCCTTTGTGCACCACATAAACATGACACTTTCAAGAAGCAGTCACATGTTATGCTTTCCTAAGGGCTCTGCCTCATCTATGCACAAATAATACTGAAAGCACAGAGATGTAATTGATACTTCATTCCTCTTCTGATATTCACTTTACACAAGCCCCACACTCAGGAAAAAAAGAAAAAAGAAAAAAGAAAATGACTTTCTTCCTGTGTTTTTCTCTAAGCTTACCAGCACTTGGGGCTAAATGGCCAAGAAACAATTAAGAGATCTTCACAACAAGCTGTGGAGTAATCCCCCTCTGCAGACTGATGACTTGGACCACAAAACCTCTGACTGAGATCTCTCAGATGCCAGGGTCTGGCTTTGCACCATATTCAGCCCTCTCAAAGCCCCATCCACATTCACCACATAAATCCCAGTGCTTCTTAATGCAGCATGAACACTTCTGCAGCTTTCCCAATCTGCACACCATTTAAGAAGAGACACAAACGGAGGACTGTGGAACATCTCCATCTCTGGCTTGCCCACCGTGACGCAGATACACCCTGCCAGAGGAAGGGCAGCATCCTGCTGTTAAACCACAGATCCTACCCCAAGTCTGGCACATCCTAAACTTTGAGGTTTAGATTAAAAGCTAGAATTACATTTAAAATATAACTTCTGGATTTAAGAAAGAGGACTGGACAGACAAGAAAGCCCGTGCTGGTGACCAGAGGCTGCAGGTTCTTACACACAAAAACAAAAGGCAGTCCCACTGGACTGAGGTGCAAATTAAGCTGAGAACTATCTCAACAGAAAAGAAAATCAGGTATTTCCAAGGAAGGTTCAAGAGCGTTACAGCAGACTGCTGCAAACCCCTGCGGCAGGTTTAGCAAAAATGCTCCCAAGGGTCTCCATGCCTAGCCTGGACAGTCTGAGCAGAGATCACCATGTCTGGGCAGAAAACGGGCAGTGCACAGCATCTGCTACCTAGCACAGGAATGCTGAGACTCAGGAAGCACCAGCTTCCTGACAGGCCCCGGGAGGAAGTGCATTCCTGGCACTGCACATGCTTCCCCGACCCTCGGGCTGTACCCTCTGGCTGGGCTCCTGGCTTGCATTGAGACAGCCTCCATTTCCTCCTCTCTCTATGATCTACCAAATATTTAGAGGCATTGCAACCCCAGAGAGGAGGCAGAAATAGTCACAGAAATGACTTGAGGGCTTAAAAAAATGTTTTACATTGACAAATTTAAAGAGCTCGGTCTGGGCAGTGTGTCAAAGTGATGGGAGGTGAGTCAACTTTAACGTATAGGCATCACAACATGAGGAAGTTATTGGGGAACAATCTCATAGGCAACTGAAGATGAGGTCTTTTATCAAACAACAGCCTCACACAACCTCAGCTAAACGTGCCAGCTCTGGCTATGGTTTATTAATACGGTACTTTGCTGAAGCAGAATTAAAATTGCTCGGTTTTTTTTCTGCCTTTCCAAACTGTGTAGGAAAACTCAAAACTTCTGAAAAACAGGAAATGAAGAATTAAGATACACACCCACACAGCCTTAACTCTGCCTCCATGGAGCTGGCAGGAGCCCCCAGGAATGATCCACAAGCATGCCAGCTGCAGTCTTGTGTGAGGGGAACAGCACTGCACACCGATGAGATTGGTGTGAGCAGCTAGATAGAACTGGGGCTGCAAAACAGGGTTTTGGTGCCATGGGGTCCAGAGTCACACATACAGCAGCATCACACATAGCTCATGCAAGAAATGTGTGCACCACATATAGCCTTGAGACAAGGAGTCTTAAGGTGCTGAAGAGTTTGTGTTCTTCCTGTGGAGCTGTGGCTGTGACCAAAAATAAGGGGGCTTGTGCTTGTGCCACTGTCACCCAGCAGTGGAGTGAATGCAAACATACATCATCACTCACAGGGACCACTGGCTTAGACGTAGGCTCAACAGCTTCCGTCCGCCATGCCAGTACTCAAGTAAATCCCCTCAATCCATCCCAGCCACCTAGGGGTTGGACTGTCATCACTGCTCTGCTCTCCCAGAGCCTGCTTAGCCTGCCCAAGCTGCTGTGGGAAAAAGGGCTTTCCATGCATGGCAGAAAGAATGCTCCAGCCCCACACATGCCAGCAGCAAGGAGTGCAGGAGCACTCTGGGGAGCCTCAGGCCACCTGAGATGTTCGCATCCTCCTCCTCCCTGGCATTCAGAAAAAACATTCATCTTCGGATGCAATGCGGTAGAGCCAGCTGCTCTCACACATGTGCTGCTGCACCTCACTAAGTGTATAACAAAACATTCCTGAATGACAGACGTTACAGTCAAGCACCACAGAGCACTGTCTCACCCCATTAATCACCTACCCAAGCGAAGCTCCTCGAAGAAAAGCAAGAGGTGCCAGCTTCAAAACTAGCATGGCATAGCCTGCAGCTTCTTGCTTTAACCTGCAGCTTTGCTGAAAGCTATAGCAGAGCTCCCTCCACCAGGCTTCCTCACTCTGTGAGCTGGGAGGTGTCCATCACCCATTCCAACCAGATTTCTGCTGGGACAACCTGAGGGATGCACACATACACAGCCTGCAGCGCCTGATGCTACCTGCTGCTGCACCACAGGCTGCTGGAACACAGAGATCTGGCATGAAGTGACAAGCTGGGTCACTAGCCACCAACAATAGCACGTTTTTGTGTTTGCACAGCTGACTGCTCAGGTAGAAGGCTCTCAGACAAGACACTGCCTGTAGTTAGGAAAAGCAGTTGCTGCAAATTTATTTTGAACAGCAAAAGGGAAAGCAGTGATGAAGGAGAGCTTACGGGGGGCCTGCTGGAAGAAGTCTGTGGGCTTTGGTGACATGGGGAGTTTTCAGCTGTAGAAAATGAGAAGTGCTCATTTTTATTTTCAGAAGAACTAGAACAAGTAGAATGGTCTCCAGGACAGCCACAACCTGAAGAGGAAGCACACAGCTTTGGCAGATGCCAGCCTAAATTCCCAGACTGCTTCAATTTGTCTGAAGGAACAAAGGCAGGGAAACACAGGTGTGAGTAGCTCTGGCTGCAGCCAAGTATTTCAAAACTTTTCATGCCTTGCAGCTATACAATGGACCTGTGGGAGAGGCACAGGCCAGAAGCAAAACTGAAGGACAATGCAATACATACAGAGAACAAATTCTGGACAACGCAGCAAGGAGCAGTTCCCTAGGATTTACTCTCCCATCACTTGCCTTCTGTGAGCACCGGGGTCTACAGCTTGCAGCACTCAGGGCTGCAAAGCCACCTTGAGTGTGGGGCTCCCCAGAGGTGAATGCTTTGAAGAGAAGACAGAACTCACAGGATTTAGACTCCCCAGGATCCAGTCGCAGGTCACAGAAAAGAATCTTTGGTGGTGTGGACAGGATACACTGACCCCGCTCTCCTGGAAGAGACAAAGAACATGTAAGTGTTGCTCCCGGCCAGCCCCAGGGTGACAAGGGGGTACTCATTGTGGCAGGCTCGCTCACGTCTCACTTCCATGGCGAGGAATGGGGAAGAAGAGGGGCTGATAAGGAAATATCTCATGTCCTGGTCAGACCACGCAACACTCCTGGGATAGCTGGACTGACAACCCTGAGGAGCTAGCACACTATGATCTCAGCATTAATGAGGTCCTCCAGCAGCCCGTGCACTAGGGAATTTCTCAAGGAAAGCAACAGGGACTTCGCAATCGCAGTCCTCTGACACATGCCAGAGACAATGTGATTCCTGTTTGCTGTGCTGTCACTTCCACCACCTGTGAGAATCACTCACCTCTGTTGGGAACAAAGACCGTCTCGTTCTCTGCCTGTACGTCAGGCTTGCTGCCATCAGATGGAGGAAGCACTACTCGGTTCTCACTGGCATGAAACTGGCAGTGGATCTGGGCACTGGCCCACGCCAGCATCTCACTGAGAACAAAGAAAAGCAACACTCGTCTCTACACTTTAATCTAGATTGTAGTGAGCATGAATCAGGAAAATAGCAGCTCTTCTTGTCCTACTCCATGGGTGACTGCTTTTCCAGAAGGAAGGAGGTCTTGCTTTACTGCCACTGAATCCATCCCTAAAGCCCCTCTCCAAATATGGTTTCAGAGCATACTTGAGCTGGGGCACTAACCTGAAGTCCCCTCCACCACAGCTGGATAACAGCTGTTGATAGCAGTATCACCCAAGGCCTGGCTCTGTAACTCTTGTTGAGCAGCAATTTTTGTTTAGTTGTCACGTACAGGCCACTCCTAATGAAGGACATTTAGCCACAAAAAAGCCAAACCCCAAGCCAGTGACATGCAGCAGTGACATGCAGCAGCACTCTGAGGTGCGTGTGGCGATAAAACAACAATCACAGAAACGTATGGATTCAAATTAAACCAGAAACAAGTAATACCTGCTCTCTGGATTCAGCTGCCCCTGCACATGCTCCCTCTCAGCAGCCGTTTCCCTCAGAACCCCTTTGCGAGTCACACTGTAGACACACTGACACTTTGCAGTTCCCAAAACCCTTATTTGTTTTTACCTCAGTAGCAGTCTTGTGAATGCAGGCAGTGTCTGGTTCCTCCCCTGTTATCGAGCATCACAGTCTGATTAGTAAGCACTGACACAGAACTTTAGGTGGCATGGGGAACCTCTGCAGCACATGGATATCTCTCAGTGAGACTAATCAGACCACTTAAATGTTCAAGTGAACCAGGGAAAGAAGTTTGCTGCATTCATCAGCTAATTATGCGCTACTTGATCCTGCCTACTTTACCTGAATGTGCACTGGATACTCTGCCCAGTTACCTCTAACCCTACAAGCTGCAATTCTTCAAAAGCACCAGCATGGCTTTATTTAAGGCCTGCCCTAGGGTCTTCTTTCATAATATCTGCTACGTGGAGGCAGAAAAATACCCTTGCATAAAAGACAGTGCTTAACAATTTTATGTCAGCTTAGCATGATTACAGTACCTTCCTTCAAACAGGGTATTTTGAATATTTTTCATTTATTTTTAGCATTGCCCAACAATGTGCCATCAGATTGTTTTAGTTTTTTAACCAGACATGCAAACAAAATGTGCATGTTCCTTCCTACCAGCAGACCTTGTTTGTTCAGCTGGCAGGACACAAACAGACCACATACAGAAGCCAAGCTTACCTTTCCCTCACTTCTCCCTACGGCTCTTTCTGTAGCCCATAATGGCTGCAATCCACACAGTTTTGGCCAGGACAGATTCTTTTACCAAATGCCTCACACATCACAACTAGATTTGCTTTCTGCCATTTATTTACTACCCCTAATTTTTGTTCCTGTGCTTGAAACACATGCTAATACATTCAACAGGCAAGAGGAACATGGAAGAAACGGAAACGGAAAGTTAAGGAACTCAATTAAAAAATGCCCTATGATGTTAAGACAATATACTACTTTGCTGCGGAAGAGACTGCGAGCACTGGAAGCGGTTCCATCAAAAGTCATCTCTGAAAGTCATACTGGTGATGATGCAAAGGTTCTGGACCTGATGGGGCAGGAAACATTTCCCCAGAAGGACCCAGGATAGGAAAGCCATCTCCACCCCTGGGAAGTGAGACAAGGCCGCAGACACAGCTGACACAGAGCCTCTGGGTGAGTCACTCCCTGTGAGCCAATGTAGGAAGCTCCTATCTTGTCACCTTTCCTCAAAGGCTACTTTGGCACAGCCGTGACAAGAAGTGAGGCAGCGCTCAGCATATAGGCCTGAAGAGCGCCTGTCCTTCCCTCCAGCTACCACTTTCCCCTCTGCCTGCTGGCTCTGGAGGTAGGGATCACACACCAGTACATCACTGCATTGCCAGGCAGAACTCCTTCCGTGAATGTTGGAAATAATGATGCTGCCTGGACGCTGCCCTGCAAGACTCACTCTGGTGTAACGAGATACCCCACTCTGATAGCCAGCTGAGCTTCATTTTCTGCCAGCAACGCTGCTGCTGAGGGGCTCACTCGAGGGGCACTTAGTGCGTCTCTCCCAGCATCTCTACCCACATACTTCCCAGACTCTTTCTCGGGGGCAGAAAACCAGAATGATGAGCTCTGTTTCCGCTCTGCAACAGAGATGGCACAAAGCTCCATTAGGGGACACCTTGGGAGGGGAAGTCACCGGGGGCTGAGCTGGCACGGCCGCCCCGTACGTGCTGCCGCAGCACACCCGGAGGCAGCCCCAGCGCTGCCATACCTGCTGGCGGACGTGGAGGAGGCCGACAAGGGGTTGGTGAAGGTGATCACACACTCCAGCATCTCCCCAGCCAGGAACACGGGCCCGCGGCCCAGCTTGGCCACCACCTCGATCATGGCTAGGACAGGACCTGCCAGAGAGAGCGGCGGAGTGAGCAGAGAGGTGGCGGCTCACAAACGCGCCTGGTGTCACGCACACACACACGAAGGAGGCCCAGGGACGGCCTGGCTCCTCCCCTAGGCCTAAGCCGCAGCCGTCGGCACCCGCCCGCAGACCCCCACGAGGGGCGAGGGCCCAGGAGCAGCCCCGGCCCCGAACGCCGCCCCGCACCGCACTCACCGCCCCGAAACCCCGCTCGCTCCGCGCCACCGCCGGGCCGCCCGCTCCTCAGCGACTACTCGGCTGCACTCGGCGGCTTTCGGGAACTCTCGGGACAACTCGGAAGCGCTCGGGTGCGCTCGGAAGCCGCTCGAACCCGCTCGGTAATTTTCGGCTCCCCTCGGCTCGGCTCGGCTCGGCTGCCCGGCTTTCCGGAGGCGCGGGCGCCGTGCCCTGCGGGTGTGGGTGGGGCGGGGCGGGGCGGCAGGCGGTGAAGAGGGCGCGCGCGGGGCGCGGCGGCGCCGGTGGCGGGCGGCTGGCGGCTGGCGGCTGGCGGCTGGCGGCTGGACAAGGCCGTGGCTGTGCCGGGGCTATGGCCATGGCGGACGCGGGGCTGCTGATGCAGTGCTACGAGGGTTCGGCGCGGGGCCGCGGCGTTGAGACCGCCGGCTGGCGGCTGTGCCTGGCGCACCGCTTCCCGGAGCAGCGGCAGCCCTTTGGAGCCGGCGACGTGCCGTTCAGCGACGTACTGCGGCATGTCGGCATGATGCTGCGGTACGGGCAGGGGCACCGGCGGCGGGCCGGAGGGAGGGAGGTGCGGTGGGGATGGGATGCGGCAGGAGTGGCCGCGATGAGCTGATACAGAGAGAGGGGGGGGGGGCCGGGCAGAGGGGCCGCCCCGGAGTCTTCTGGACCCCGGCTGGGAGCGGCGGGGGGGAGCAGCGGCCGTGTCATCGCGCTCTGCGCGGCTCCCGTCTCCCTGTGCCGGGCTCGACCCCGTGCCGGCTGTCCCCGCCGGGGTCCGGAGTTCGCGTCCCCGCGCTGCAGATGGGGTACGGGAGCACCTGGCACCGGCTCCGCGGCCCTGCTGTCATCTGCGAGACGTGTGCGGGGCAAAGGTGCCTTCCAGCGGGAGGGAATAGCCATGCCTCCCCGGGAAAGATTGGGCTCGCGGCCCGGTGTAATGCAGGCGATGTGCCTGAGGCTGTGTCGCCGCTGACCATTTCCTTGTGCCGTGCTCTGTGCCGTGTCCTTAGTGCAGGGGAAGGATGCAATATGGGGCTTTGCACTGCTGCAGCTTTCTGCAGGGTGACTCTGGGTGCACCGGTGGCACAGTTGTGATGGGGCACACTGGGAGCTATCTGGGCAGGCTTAATCTCTGTGCCAGGCTGAGCAGAAAGCAATGCCCTCTGGATGTGGTTTGGCTCAGTGCAGGCAGGCTTTCTGCTGGTTGTAAAATCTCAATTGCCTGTGCTGTGTGCTGCTGGGAAAGCTGAAGGTGGGGATTTGCTGTGCTTTCCCTGCTCCTCGCTCCGGGGCACCTCCACAAAGCAAAGTGATGGAGCTGCTGATAGTGGCAGTGGCTGCACAGGATGGGCTGGTTCTCCCGACCTCTGTGTGCTATCCTCATGCAGCCAAGTGCAGCATTGCTACTGCCTCCAGATTTGTTGGAAAAGCCTTTACCCACCATTGAGGTGGGGCAGATGTGTTCATCCTAGGGGCAGCAGGCTGGGCTCAGTGTAGCCCACTGGTGAGCAGTCAGGTGAGAGGGCACTGCCTGGGGCCAGCTCCACAGTGCGTGTTTATCTGATGGGCACTGCTGCCTTGTGGGGCTGACAAGGGATGGCTGGTGCTGACTCCTACCTGCAGTCACACCTCCTGCATTCCCTGCAGGTACTTGAAGTGGTGGTACAAGAAAACCCGCATTGAGAAGAAAACTGCTTTCATCGACCTCCTGAGTGCCGTCCCTCTGCAGCAGATCTATGGTGAGCCCAGGTTGGGCATGGGGTAGTGTAAGAGGCACTGTCCTGCTCCTGGCCCTTGGGTGCTTCTGGCCAGGAAGGGGCTGCTTGGGGCATAGGGCAGTACTGACCCCTGCATCCACCAGGCTGCCCACTAGGTGGGATTGGCGGCGGTACCATCACTCGTGGCTGGCGGGGCGAGTTTTGCCGCTGGCAGCTGAACCCTGGGATGTACCACTATGAGACAGTCATCACTGACCAGGTAGGGCATGGTGCCACCTGCCCCTTGCAGCACTGTGACGCCTGCCTCGGGGCTCACCCTGTTCCCCTGTGTTCTTTTTCTCCCCAGTTCACAGTGTGCTTGCGTCGCAAGGGACAGACTGTTTACCAGCAGGTCCTGTCTGTGGAGAAACCCAGTGCTCTTCAGGGCTGGAACTGGGGTTACTGTGGCCACTATGCCTTCTACCATGCACTGTACCCCCGTGCTTGGATGGTTTATGAGCTGCCAGGGCAGAACGTGGTGCTCACGTGCCGCCAAATCTCCCCAGTCATCCCCCATGACTACAAGGTGAGGTGACACTTCCTCAAGCATCACGCCTGTGCCCTGAGGTACTGCAGTAGCTCCAGGAAGGATCTGGGGAGTGATGTGGTATTTTCTGGCAATGGTCCCAGTGCTTCTGGAGTGCCACACTGGTGCTGCTAAGGCACAACTGTTGTCAGCCAGGCTTCCCTTCTTGATCATTTTCTTTTCCAGCCTGATATTTTTGTCCTAAGATCCCGTTCCTGGTATCAGCTGCAGTGGGCTTTGTTGCAGCCAGACCTAGTGCTGAGAGGAGCCATCCCTTGCTGCTTGCGCTCTGCCCTGGCAGCTGCTCTGTTCCCCTCCCACTAGTGCTCTGACACTGTGTTCTGCCCACTTCCTACTTTTATGTTTGTGTTGTATCCCTGCAGGACTCCAGCCTGCCGGTGGGGGTGTTCATCTGGGAGGTGGAGAACAACAATGAGGAGCCTGTGGATGTCTCCATCATGTTCACCCTGCAGAATGGCACGGGCACAAAGTCGGATGGGAGTGGGGGCCACTGGAATGAACCCTTTGCCCTGCAGGACAGTGGGGAGCGGGTGGCTGGTGTCCTGCTGCACCACTGTACACCCGTCAACCCCTTCATCTTTGCCATTGCTGCCCGAGAGAAGGTGAGGGCTGGAGTGGGGCTGTGCTGCTCCTGGTGGCTGTGGGGTGGTCCCCAGTGTGGGGACAGCCCTGGAGCTGGATAAAAGCAGGAGGGTGTCTTCAAGCTCCCTGGAACACTTGTTTGGGGTTCCAGCAAGTAATGCAGTGGGTGAGGCTTGCATGATGCCAGGCAAGCAGACTTGGGGGTGGTTTTGGTGTACAGCATGAGACCAAGCTTATGGTTGTGAGATTGTTGGTGGGTAGCTTTGGCCACCTGAGAAAGTTCCAGCTTCAGATGTACTCTGGGGTGATACAATTGCATCACCTGCTGCTTTGGAATGGGAGCTGTTTCCTGATGCTCTCCTTATCCCCAGGCTGGCACAGTCATCACTCACCTTACTGCCTTTGACCCTGCGGGGTCAGGCAGGGATGTGTGGCAGGACCTCCTGCAGGATGGCAAGCTGGAGTCCCCCACTGGTGAGTGCTGTCTCAGAGGCCTGGGGGGTGCACGGGCTGAGGTTTGCTATGTGGCTGTAGTGGTGCCCAGCCACCTTCCCTAGGTTCGTGCTGCCAGATCTGCCAGCCGAGCTGGTTCTGGTTTGTTTAGGGAGCACTTAGCAGCTCTTGTGTTCTGAAGCTGGCGTAACCTGCTGGCCTCATGTTGCCACGAGGGTTTCCTGAAGGTCTCTGGAATTTCCTTGATACTTTGCATCATCCTCAGCTGCTTGCTCACTCATTGCCTTCCAGCAGGGTGACACTTTTGCAGTCTGTGCTGTCCTGCTGCTGCAGTAGAGCTGTGCATGTGTCCAGCGCCCTGCCTGCCTTCCGAGAGAACAGATTGCTGACACTGCTGACAGATTTGTGATGCTGGCAGTGGACCTCTGCAATGTTTCGTGAGGGCTGATTCATGTCACCAGTTGCCTAAATATTTCAGGAAAACGAAAACTCCTTTCTGCTGTCTGCAGATGCACTTGGAGCTCTTAGGCTATTGGGATGTGGTTTTCCTTCATGCATGCTGGACCTTATCATAGGATCTATGCTTCCGTGAAAATTGTTGCCTTAATGAGTTTACCTGGTACACATGTCAGGACTGGTGTATAATTATGCAGTTGCTTGAGGACATTTTTTAAATGCAGGTGCTGTTCAAACACCCTTTAGAAAGCTGGAGGCGATGACTGTCACTGCAAAGTGCAGGTGCCTGCGCTGGCAGTCTGCAGTCCTGGGTGACAGGGTCATTCCATGTGTGCCTGCTGGCTTTTCTGCCTCATTTCTCTCTCTGCTTCCATGCTGTTTTTTTGGGTTTTTTTCAACCCCCTATGACTCCTTGTCCCATGGTAAGTATTCTATCCTGGTTGCAAAAAACAGTTGCTCATGCACAGCAGTGCTGCCTCCAGAATGCATCAGATACCCATTTTATGTTTTGGGGACCAGAAAACTTTGTTCCTTTGAGACAGCAATCCCTCAGGCTTTGTAAGCTTCCTTGGTTACTTTGTGAGCCCTTTTTTTATTGTGTTTCTGGCAGGTAAAAGCAAGCAGACGCAGAAGGGAGAAGTGACAGCAGCTGCGGTGTGTGCCAGCTGCACGGTGCCTGCACGAGGCCACGGGACACTGGAGTTGGCCCTAGTGTGGGACATGCCCCGTGTTCACTTTGGCTCCAAGGAGAGACTGCACTTCAGGTGGGTGCTTTGTGACAGCCTGGTGGAGCTCCTTGGATCGCCCCTGAGCTGAGTTCTTCTTCTTGGCAGGCGGTACACACGCTTCTTTGGCAGCAATGGCGATGCAGCTCCTGCACTGTCACACTATGCCCTGACACACTACAAGGAGTGGGAGAGGAAGATCGAAGCATGGCAGAAGCCCATTCTGGAGGACAGGTGGGGTGGATGGGGGATAGTGACTGAGCAGGGGACAGTAGACTGGGTCATTGGCTGACTTTCCCTCTCCCTGCAGTCAGCTGCCTTCCTGGTACAAGTCAGCCCTGTTCAATGAGCTGTACTTCATGACGGATGGGGGCACAATCTGGCTGGACCTACACCCTGACTGCCTCCCCGAGGACCTGCAGGGACCAGCGGCTGCCAAGTTGTCCCACCTCCTCCCTGTTCTGCAGGAGTACGGGAGGTTTGCTTATCTGGAAGGTAACAACTCACTGGGACACAATGCACCCCATGTCCTAAGTGCGCCCTCCCTGTTTTACTTGTTCCAAGGA